TCTCTCTCTCTCTCTGTCTCTCTCTCTCTCTCTCTCTCTCTCTCTCTCTCTCTGTGTGTGTGTGTGTGTGTGTGTGTGTGTGTGTGTGTGTGTGTGTGTGTAGGGTTTCTCTGTGTAGCCTTGACTGACCTGGAACTGGCTCTGTCAACCAGGCTGATTATTTTCAAGGCCATTTTTTTCCTTTCCTTACACGTACCCTTTTGTCAGTTCCCCATTATTTTCAGTTACCTAAAGTTACTATTAGTAATCTTGTCGGCTACCTCATTGGTTTGATTTAGATCAAGTATTCTCGACAGAGTCAACATGGATCCCTCGGGGATATTCTGAAAATGTTGTGAAGCCCTTTTGAGCTTCCACAATAATTTGCACAAGAGGAAGAGTACTTTGTGGACAGTGGACTCCTGATTTCAGAAGTCCTAACAAGTGCAAAGCCAGCCAACACAGAAATAAAGAACCATCCCCAACACTTAAAGTTTTACAAGATACCAGTGACATTAAGTAGGGGAATAGCCAGTTTCTGGTCATCTTTGTTTTGTTAAGAACTTTCAACCATTTATACCACTTCTACTCTGTTTTAGCACAGACTTAATTTTCCATAAATGAACTTACCCTATAAACTGAGGAGACATTTTTAACAATTTACCTCAGAGCGTTCACCTTTTTGGGGAAATAAAAATAACAATAGGATGCCAATATTTGATAGCCAGGAGGTAGGAAGGCTGAGGCGGAAGGATCGTGAGCTCCAGGCCAGCCTGGGATATACGGCGAGTCTTTCAAAGAATAAAACCCTGACGTCTTGCATTTGTAGCTGTCACACACACAACTGTTGCAATACGAGAGCAATACGACTACTTCATTGCAGCCGCTAACGTAATAATGTGAACGCTTTTACAAATTCAAACAGCTACTTGTTACTAAGAAGATATCTACTTCACCTTTATGGTTCAATCTGACTATTATGTTGATTTTTAAAAACTTTGATTTTATGTCAGGATATCACACGTAAGTTTTTATTTAAAGTTCCTGTTATAGAAAGAACCGTGGCGTGGTGAAGACTCACACACAATTTAGCATTCCTAGCTATTAAAAAGATCTCCTAGGCCGGGCGGCGGTGGCGCACGCCTTTAATCCCAGCACTTGGGAGGCAGAGGCAGGCGGATTTCTGAGTTCGAGGCCAGCCTGGTCTACAGAGTTAGTTCCAGGACAGCCCGGGCTACACAGAAAAACCCTGTCTCGAAAAACCAAAAAGAAAAAAGAAAAAAAAAATCTCCTAACGTATATCCTGAATCCTATACACTCCGACAGACGTGAACCGGCGGGGTAGCTCAGCCGGTGGAGGTGCTGGCCGACTTGAGTTCGAACTCCAGGAGCTTGAAGGAGTTGAAGGAAAGAACGCACCTCTTTCGGCCTGAATAAACCGCATGCACTTTCTGACTGGACCCAGGCTGAGTTGCTCCAGACTTTGGGGGTGCTAGAGAAGCGCCTCTCCTGCCTCCCTTCACTGGGTCCTAACTGTTCTAACTCATCTTCACGCCGTGGTTCTTAACTACCTTTCCCCAAAGAGGGTCCCCAGCCCCACCGGGTCCCCTCTGCCCAGGGGGACCCATGAGTCTCTTCACTGGATATGCGATACGTTCTGTGGTCCGTGTCACTTTGGGGAGAAAGCCTGTCTACCCTGCAGAGCACGGGCAGCCTCTGGGCTTAACCGAGGCGCCGGGCGAGCGGGTGGGAACGGGAGGTCTTGGGGTTTACGGGTACGGGTCAGTGACAGTCCGCAGACTCACCGCGGTGTGGTCGATGTCGGCGTCCGGCCTTTGGGCAGAAGGAGGCAGGTATTCTGCGTAGCGCAGCCCCTCTCTGGAGGTCACGCCGCTACCGGTAGCCATAGCAGTGGAGGACTCTGAGGACGCACTGAGTTGACTACGAGGCGTCCGCAGGGACAAACTAGTGCGGACGGGTTAAGTTCGCGCTCTGGGTAGATGCTCAGTTTTATTAGTGAAGACTTCGCTACAGAAAGTCTGGTTCTCACTCCATCTCCGATAAATTTACCTTGCCAAAGCCTAGGGCCAGACCCTTAAAGGGCCTAGCTTGTTTTATTTATTTATTTATTTATTTATTTATTTATTTAGTCTCCTGGGGCAGGACGTGTTGTGCCACCTTCCACTACAACCACCAAGCATGGAAAGGAAGGGCCTTCTTAGGTCTACCTTGAGTTTCCTCTAAAACCAGGCAGGGAGAAACTCCAAAGTCCTGTGTGGTGGTGCCTGGGAGTAGAGACAAGGCTGCGACTTCCTAACTTGACCTTCCCAGCCAGAAATGAGTATGATTTCACGTGTTAGTGAAATCACTGGGGAGAAACTAGTGATCAAGAAACTTGTGCTCACCTTAGATGATTTTGACTTAATTTGAATACATAAAGGCTTATTTCATTATTAATTTTTAGGTCAAACTTTTCAAACAGATATTAGGCAATAACTGAAGCTAATACGCTTTTTAACCTCTGTACCAACTTGGCTTCTGTTTTCCCCTTTATACACTTTGCAATCCAGCCTACGAGAAGGTAATTATTTTTTTCCATTCTTACATTAAAAGTTATAAAACCTATTAATTTTTCCATATACTTAATATTATTCTCATGCTCAGAGCCTGGAGGAATTTAGAATCACACCAACACTGTGATAGTGCCATATACCAGAGCACTAGATTGGCTGCAGATGAAAGCAAAGGCAGTGTCAGAGTTCACAGAGAGGAACAAGAACAGACACAAAGGCTTCCTTGGAGGCTCAGCCGCTGATGGTTCAGTAAAGAACGTGCTTTTCAGTTCAGTTAGAAGAAGAAAAGGGTCAGAAATTCCACATGGAAATAAACACCAAGAACTGAAAGGGTGATATGTAACAGTGTGTAAAAGTACTTTGGAACTCTTCAGAAACACGGCTTTATTACATAAATTATTTTTATTAAGCCAATCCACAATTATTTGTGGTCAAAACAAATGGATTGAAGCCTACATATCATTAATTCATCATGCATTTGTTCAGTGTATTCAACTTATTGAGCATATGTCAAGTTTTTAGGCATAGTGCTGGGGCACTGTGCCTTTAGCATCAAAAAACAAATAAGGTCTCCAAGTCCTTGAATTTACAGTCTAAGGGAGGCTAATGATGTATCCTAGCAGCTGGACCCTAACAGTCATAGGCTGCTAGCCTGGAGCAAACAAGCAATTAGAACAAGACGGGAGTGAGCCAGCTCTTTTTAGAACAGTGCACCTGCTCAGGAACTGGGAAAAACCTTCCAAAGCAGAAGCCAGGAGAAAAGGGGGGCTGGGGTGGAAAACACAGCAGAAGAGAAGGCAGCAAGGGGTAGTCAGCCTGCTGCATTTCAGGTCAGACTCCAGTCTATGGAGAGTACATTACCGGCTGCTTACAGACTTTACTGAACTTCCTTCCACTGCTACTTCTACAGAAGTGGACTGTGTTAGAGGGAAATCTCATCCCCAGTGACTACTCTGCTCTCAGCCTTTGGTTCTTTAGTAGGCTCAACCTTACCAGCAAGAAAGATAAAAACAAAAGCAGCGAAATCCTTTCCTGTCCGCTCAAGTATCTCTTCTGGGTTTAGCTCAACTCGCTAAACCTTAAACCTCCTGGCTTCCTTAAGAAAGAAGGTAAGTAGCTGGGTGAGATGGTGTACAGCTTTGATCTCAGCACTGAGGAGGCAGAGGCAAGAGGATCTCTGTGAGTTCCAGCCCAGTCTGGTATACAGAGCAAATTCCAGGACAGCAAGGGCTACACAGAGAAACCCTGTATCAAACAAACAATCAAACAAACAAGAATAAAGATAAATGTTGTTTGTGAATAATAAAAGAGAAGTGTGTTAAATTTCTATTGCTTTTCTCTTAACTAATTCTACCTTCTCAAAGACAGATTATAGTCTGTCCTATGGACCTTATAAAACAAAAGCAGAGATTGGTAATATATTTTGGAAATGTCTCAGTCAAAAGTTTAACATTTTGTTAGGACTTTCAGGAAAAGAACATACATCTTAACCTCTCGGGGATGGCTCCCTCATCAGTAAATAGATTAGTGGTATCACCTCCACTATACACTTTAAATGTAGCCATCTTAGAATGATGGCTAGTTGGACAGTAAGTGGTCTCTCAAAAGGCTTTGGTTCCAGTGAGTAGATCCACTCATTAAGAAGCCAGTGGATCATGAAGAAACTGGACTAATCAGTGGATCAATGCACTGATGGATTCCCAATTTGACACCATTGTTGGACTCTGAGGTAGGGCCTAGTTGGAGGAAGAGGGTCACTGGATTGGTTGGGCTTATATCCTATGTAGGGTTGTCTGGCTCCCTCTCTTGCTTTTGGCTACTGTGAGGTGAGCAACCCCTTCTAACACAAGCTTGCACTTGGTCTTCCTCACTGCAGGCCTATAGTAATGGGTCTAGCCAACCATAAAAGATGTCCCAGGAGCTATCTATTCTCTTTTGGTATTTGTCACCAGAACAACAACAACAAAAAAGCAACAACAACTAAAAAAGGAACTTAGCTAACTGGCTGAAATCTAGTAAGTTCTTCACTATTTCTGCTTTTAAAGTTTCATATATAAGTATACTGCATTTACATCATTTCTACACCTCCAACTATTCCATGCCCCCCAAAATCCTCAAGTCTATGACCTCTACGGTAATTAACATTGTTTTGTATGCGTGCGTGCGAATGCAGGCGTGCGTGTGCGCACGCGCGCGAGTGTACACACACACACACACACACACACACACACACACGATCCAGTTAGTGTTGTCAGTATGTAGATATGTTTATGGCTGACCATTTTTATCATCTTTCAGGAAGCTTGTCCCAGAGAAAGCTGATTCTCCTACCCTCACAATCTATGAACTCTCTGGCCTTTTAATCAATGGGTAGCCTTACTGAATTCCCCCACCCACACTGCCAGGTTGATTGGCATGGTTTCTTGCAGGCACCTCTATTGATGAGAGTTCATGAGTGCTGCATCACAGTCATTTCCAGAAGACACCATCTTCCAGCAATTACCCCAGTCCTCTGGCTCTCACAGTCTTGCTGCCCCAACTTCTAGAATATTTCCTGAGCCTGAGGCACCAGGATTTTATGGGTGAAGACATCTCAATTGTGGCTAGGCATCCCAGAGTCACTTATTCTCTGCCTTTTGACACGTTAAGGATCTCTAGAGCATCCTCTGGTGAACTAAGATCCGTCTTTGATGAGGGCTGAGAGCTACACTAATCTGTGGTGTGAGGATAAGTACTTAGAGGGCAGTTAGATACTATAACTTTTTGGTAGTGGGTTCGCCTCTAGAATCTACATCTTTAGTCATGGGTTCTTGGCTAAGTTGACAATACCAGGCACGGGTACCCTCCTATTGAGCAGGCTGTAAGTTCAGTTAGACAGCTGATAGTAACCCTGAAGATATAAATGTCACTATTATTTTTCTGGACTAGTCATTGTTGTGGTTCACAGACTTTAGACCTGGGCAAGATTTGCATAGCACCTTCCAATAATATGAAATCTAGACCTTGGGGAAGAGACTTCTTGATCAGTACCAGCTTGATTCCTCTTGAAAGGACCAAGGTAACTCTATTTTGTCTTAAATTCCTCTATTTTCCTCTGCCCTACTAAGTTTGTACCACCACCACCATCTACCCACTCACCCACACATACACACACACAACACCCTTCCTGGGTAAACTGCAAGAACTAGCCATGGCCAATCAGCTCATTGCTAATACAGACACAGCCAATCCCCATAAAGGACAAGTTGCCAGTATTGCCCCCTTTTTCTTGCTTGTGTGGTTTGTTGTTGTTTGTTTTTTTTTGTGTTTGTGTTTGTTTTTTGTTTTGTTTCATTTTCTTTTCTTAAAAAGACCTTTGAGAGCTGCTTGCTAGGGGTCATGGTTCCAGCTCCTGAGTCTGGCCATGTCTCTAATCAATTAGCTTTAGAAATACATGGTAAACAAACCGTTCCTTCTTGACTTGTACTGAATGGACCTCATCATTTGTGTGATCCCAGACTTGACACTCTAAGACCTGTGGCCTTTTCAGCAACAGGATCTTACCTTTAAGTTCTGGCAGGTAACCAAGGGGGATGGCAATGACCTATATTGTTGGGAGCATGTGTCCAATTACTTGAAGAGAAAAAGACCCTACATTCTGTGTGTCTTAGTTCCTTTTCTATTGCTGGGGCAAAATACCATGATCAAGAAAATTTATAAAAAGAAGTCATTTAATTGGGCTTATGGTTTCTGAGGGTTAGGTACGGCAAAAGCAACAGCCAAGAACTCACATCTTGAACTACAGGTAGTAGGCAGAGAGGCACACTGGAAATTGGAAACCTCAAAGGCCATCTATAGTGGCACACCTCTTCCAACAAGGCCATGCCCCCTAATCCTTCCCAAGCAGGTCAGTTCCACCAACTAGAGACCAAATATTCGAATATATGGGTCTGTGGGAGCCATTCTCATTCAAACTACTACACTGTAACAACAACAACAATGTAAAACAACAACAAAAAAATCATTGAAAGCAATAGAGGAGAACACTCAACATGCCACACCAACCTCTAACCTCCATATGTGAATGACAAGTTGAAGGCCATCCTCAGCTACAAAGCAAGTTTGAAGTCACTCCTGGGTTACATGTGACCCTATGTCAAAAGAAAAGGAAACATCTAAAAGTGTTCCTTGGTGACACAGGAAAGAAAAATCATATCCCTAGAATTTTGGCTATTCTGTGGGTTCTTTTTCCTTCTGTCCTTCTCCACCCCTTTTCTGTGGGAAAAAAAAAAAGGCTGCAGTGGAGTTCTGGAGACTTTCCATGCTGGCGGGTCCCACATACAGGAGGTCTAAGGTTCCAGAGGTTGGAGGCTTTAGCAACGGCAGGCCCCAATGATACAAGAAAGTCCTTGGTTCCAAAAGGTTTTATTTTCATGGCAGGTGGTGGATGGATCTGGATGTACCCCCTGAAACTCAGGGCAGACCTGAGTTAAATAGGGAAG